AACCATAATTGCACCCAAAATATCCATTGCTAAGCAAGACAGTTGTTAAGTGAATTTTGCCTCATTTTATGACCTTTCTTGCCACATTTGTTAAATGAATCACTGCCGTTGTTAAGTTAATAAGAAGGTTGTTAAGTGAATCTGGCCCCCCATTGACTTTGCTTGTCAGAAGGTCGCAAAAGGGGATGACGTGACACCCGGGATGCTGTGACCGTCATAAAAAAAATCCATGGCCAAGTGTGTGAATTTTGATCACGTGACTCGGGGGATGCTGCAATGGTTGTAAGTGTGAAAAATGGTCATAAATGACTTTTTTCAGCACCCTTGTACCTAACTTCGAACGGTCACTAAAAGAATTGTTGTAACTTGAGGAAAACCTGTGTTCAGGGCAGGGTGGGCTCTGGATAGGAATAGTTTTATCTAGCAACCTTTCGTTAGAAATCTCAGGCTTTAGTTGCAAGTTCTGAAACTATTTTGCTTTTCCTTTTTTTGCACGGCATTCCCTGAAAACTGGTGGAAGGTGGGGTGGAGAGTAGCAATGGCCGTCTCTCCTAAAGATTGCTTTTTATTACGAAGGAGACGAAGAAACGTAATGGGAGATGCTGAAAAGGGCGGGCTCCTTCTTCCCTGCTGGGTCTTTAATAGGGGCACGTTTGGCTGAATCTGTTGGACTTATCCTATTCATTAGATGAAGGTAAAATCAGTGGTGACACCGGTTGAACTCCTGCTCTGATGTCCAGTTTTTTAAAAAGTGATAGCTTTCAGTGTTTGCTTACAGACCAAGTGGGATTCTGACTGGTGTTGAATGAATAGGAAAACACAGAGAAGCATTTATCACGCTGAACAAGTGGCCTCCCTCCCTCCCCTCCCCTCCCCTCCCCTTCCTCCTTCCCTCACTATCCTTCCTTTCCTTTCCTTTCCTTTCCTTTCCTTTCCTTTCCTTTCCTTTCCTTTCCTTTCCTTTCCTTTCCCTCCCTCCCTCCCCTTCCTTCCACACTTCCTCTCTCCTTCCTTCCCTCCCTCCCTCCCTATCCTTCCTTCCTTCCTCCCTCCCTCCCACCCTCACTTCCTTCCTCCCTCCCTCCCTCCCTGCCATCCCCTTCCTCCTTCCCTCACTATCCTTCCTCCCTTCCCTTCCCTTTCGTTCCTCCCTCCCTCACTATCCTTCCTTTCCTTTCCTTTCCTTCCCTTCCCTTCCCGTCCCATCCTGTCCCTCCCTCCCCTTCCTTCCACCCTCCCTCTCTCCCTCCCTCCCTATCCTTCCTTCCTCCCTCCCTCCCATCCCCTTCCTCCTTCCCTCACTATCCTTCCTCCCTTCCCTTCCCTTTCGTTCCTCCCTCCCTCCGTCACTATCCTTCCTTTCCTTTCCTTTCCTTCCTTCTTCCCTTCCCTTCCCTTCCCTTCCCTTCCCTTCCCTTCCCTTCCCTTCCTCCCCTTCCTTCCACACTTCCTCTCTCCTTTCCTCCCTCCCTCCCTCCCTATCCTTCCTCCCTCCCTCCCTCTCTCCCACCCTCCCTTCTTCCCTTCCTTCCATATCGCACTAGATTTAAAAAAATGGTGATTATGAAACTATCAAATGGCAGAACCTCATTGATGGGAAGAGTGAACTACCTTGGCCGATGATGATGTCACAATACTAACCAATAGATTCTTTTGCCTCCAATGGATCTTGAACAGACGTTTGGTGGACTCTACTGGTAGGATGGCTTCCTTTTTCCAATCCCTGTTCTACTAGATTACCATACATAGTTTAGATTAGACTATAGTAGGTTATTTAGCACACACTGTCTGTAGCAATATCTAAATCAGAAGAACAACCAAGAAACCCAAGCTGCTAGATCACCAGAGTTGGCCACCTCCAGCATCTGCTACCAGAGACCATTGTCTTACTTTATCTAATGAAACAACCGGCAGTATGAATAATATCAACAACCAGTTAGCATAATTTCTTGGAAAGAAATCACTAAATAAAGTGTCACAGAGTCGATGTCCATGATAGGGGCTTATATCTCTATCCACTGAGATGAGCAGACTTAGCGTTAAAGGAGGCTTACTTGGTACAAATTTCCTGCCTCAGAAGGGGAATAATAAACCTGGTTCTCAACCATGGAAGCAACGTATCAGGTTAGTTTTCTCAACATAGGATATAAATGGGAGAAGAGGCTTTATAACAGGAGTCCCCAAACTTGACAACTTCAAGATTTGTGGACTTCAACGCTCAGAATTCTGACTGAGGAATTCTGAGAGTTGAAGTCCACAAGTCTTAAAATTGCCCGAATTTGGAGACCCCTGCTTTATTTAAAAAGAGCAAAGATATATCAGGGCCAAGGTTCTCTGGATCGAGTAACCAGATATCTCAGGAAAAACCACAAGTAAGACTTGAAGGTAACAATTAGGGAACTGGAGGCTAAAACATATGAAGAACGGTTGCAGGAACTGGGTATGTCTAGTCTGATGAAAAGAAGGACTAGGGGAGATATGATAGCAGTCTTCCAATATCTCAGGGGCTGCCACAAAGAAGAGGGAGTCAAGCTATTCTCCAAAGCACCTGAGGGCAGGACAAGAAGCAATAGATGGAAACTAATCAAGGAGAGAAGCAACTTAGAACGAAGGAGAAATTTCCTGGCCGTTAGAACAATTAACCAGTGGAACGACTTGCCTCCAGAAGTTGTGAATGCTCCAACACTGGAAGTTTTTAAGAAGATATTGAATAACCATTTTGTCTGAAGTGATGTAGGGTTTCCTGCCTAAGCAGGGGGTTGGACTAGAAGACCTCCAAGGTCCCTTCCAACTCCGTTATTCTATTCTATTGTAACCCCATCCTTGTGTTTCCTCTCCAGCAATAATCTTAGTGCCATTTCGCAAAGCTAATAGGAAGCGACATAACTTTCATTCTCCATGTCTGTCTTAATCCCCTGTTAAAGTCCGTGGTTGTGATCCCCATCGCAAAACCACAGATTCCTGAAAACAGAAGTTGTCCTAGGAAGATAGCAGGCAGTGCTTTCTAGAATACAATGTGCCCATTTAGTCCTGGTATGTAGAGGGGGGGGCTATTGAGGGGTTCCCCTTCTTTGCCAGAGCCATGGGAGTACAAACCTGGCAACAAGCCTTCCAATGCTGGCCCCCATGCTTGGGGTACTCTCCTGCCAAAGCTTGGATGGTCCCAAATCCCTGCTTGCATTTCACAAACAACTGAGAATTATTTGGTTTGAATAATTTTTTGATTTGGGTGACTTCTGAGGCCACTGGATGCTAACTTTATTTATTGAAGTTTTGTATTATTTTCTTGCATGGTTATCTGCCCACCACGGAGGAGGTATTTAGACATTGAAAAAAATGAATAAAAAAATAGCAACTTCTTGAAAATGTTAAAGGGGTCTGCAAAAATCTAGATAATTACTCAATGTCAAATTCTAGTGGTCATCCAATATTTCTGCAGTTCCAAATGTTTAGCTTCCTAAGTATATGCTCATTTCTGGATTTTTTTCTTTTCCCTAATTATCCATCCATGCATTCATTGCCCAAATGTGGGCGGGGCCAGCCAGTCCATGTAACTACCGGTTCAGCAAACCAGATGTAAAATTAGCATCCAGTTCGCCCGAATCGGTCCGAACTGGCTGAATCCCACCCCTGGTTCCAAGCAAGAATATACTGTGTAGCCTAGATCTCTCAGGGATTTTTTTTTCAGCTGCTTTGCTGAATTACAGTTTTCATTAAAAGAAAACCAAGATTAAACCATTTTATTTCTCGGAGGAGATTTAGAAAAAAAATATATGCAGGCAATAGTCTTCCTACTTTTCTTTTCTTTTTTTAAATATAGCTACACATCTCACACCAGTGACTGTAGGCAGCTTACAAAGATTAAAAGACTGAGAACTCACAAGCAATGGCTTTGGAAGTTTCAGAGTTATGGGTTGTTGGAATAATTTGACATCTATGAGGCATTTATTTTCAGATTTTATACAGTTTGAATTCTGCAGTGTCATATTACAAGGTAGGAAGGAGCGAACCTGATAACATTTTTGTTTCATTTCTTTCTTTCGTTTTAAAGCCATCAATGTTGGTTTCTCTCCAGTTCTCAGTTTTTCATGTGTTGGTTTGGTGCAAGTCATGTTACCTAGATTTGGCACATAATAGAGCCCTGGTGGAGCAATGGATAGAGTTCAATCCTAACCAGCTCCAGGTTGACTCAGCCTTCCATCCTTCCAAGGGGCCTGGTGGCTCAGCAGACTAAAAGCATTGTGATTAACACCAGCTGTCTGCAATTACTGTAAGTTCGAATCTCCCCAGGCTCAAGGTTGACTCAGCCTTCTATCCTTTCTAAGGTAGGTAAATTGAGGACCCAGTTTGTGGGGGCAATAAGCTGACTTTGTATAAATATACAGGCTGAAACTGTAAACCGCTTAGAGCAGGGGTGTCAAACTCAAGGCCCATGGGCTGAATCCGGCCCGCAGGGTGCTTAGATCTGGCCCGTAGGACCACTCTGGAAACAGTGAAGGTCCAGCCTACGGTGCCTCTGCTAGCGAAAATGGAGCTCGGGTGGACCACGCACAGCCCTCAGGAGCTCTGTTTTTTGCCGCGACGGCCTCCTGCAGCCGTTTGCAAGTTCCGTGCGTGGCCCTCCCGAGCTTCGTTTTTGCTGGCAGAGGGTTGCAGGATGCCGTCGCAGCCAAAAATGGAGCTTGGGACCCTGCTGGCAGAGTGCTCAGGCCACCACAGGCGCCCCCGACACGAGTGACATTGAGCTGGCCATGCCCACCCCACAGCCCCCCCCCCAAAGTCAAACACAACCCTGATGCGGCCCTCAATGAAATCGAGTTTGACACCCCTGGCTTAGAGAGAGCTTGTAAAGCACTATGAAGCAGTATATAAATCTAAGCGCTATTGCTATTGGCACTGATTTCTGGTCCCACTTACCTTCTGTGTACCTTTATCAAAACTCATCTGCATTTTCCTTTCCTCTCCATTTTTTTTTTTTTGTTCCTTCCTTTTTCTCACAGAAGTAAGAATGTCTAAGCCCTTGGAACTGGAGAAGGTGCGCCTGGAGCTGCAAGAAGACCACACAGGTAAGTTGGTTGGATGGGAAGGATAAGAATGTATGTATTCATTAACAGAAAGGCTCTTGCGGAGGCTGGGTGAAATGAGAACCCCCCTTTCCCTGCAGTCTCTGCAGCGGTGGCCTCTTTGAAGCTAATTCATTTTCTTTCTCCTTTTAAATGTAAGAAGGTATTAAAAATACAGAATGCAAGTGAATAAATAAATAAAGAAGATCCCTGCAGGGTCAGACGCCAGCTTTTCGTTAGAGAGTCTTAATAGAAAAGTCAGGAACCCAGAAATTGGCTTTTTATACATAATTTCCCCCCAGTCATCTTCAAGATATAAAGGAGCCATTAGGCCTAATAAATAGTATTAATATACTCCTGAGACAACTCGGTGCTACTGTATTGCATTAGCCAGTTTTGGACATGGATCAGAATTAGTATCTGAAGTAGTGGATGAAGGGGAACAAGAGAAAATGATGAAGAATGGAAGGAAGGCTTCTCGGTGCACTGAAAAACAAAGCATTGGAAAAAAAAAACTATTAAAAGTTACTGTCCTGGAAAAGATAAGGAACTAAGCAAAGGAGAATGGACCAAGGAGAAGAATCAGGTTTTGTATAAAGTATTGTTATTCAGGAAGGGCAAGCACTGGCTTGATAACCCCAAATCTGATGCAAAGTTGAACATCCAACAATTGAAAGAAGCTGTGCTTGACACAGGGTAGTTGGAGAGCCCTTGTCTATAAAAGTCACCAAGAGTCGGATAGGACTAAATGGTTAAAAACAAGCCAAATGACCAATTGTTATTCACTGGTTTGGGTGCCACTTCAGCCATTGAAGCATTAACAAAAAATCTCCCTTTGGGACACCATTACCAAATAAATAAAATAAGTATTAAAATGAGAGGCTGCCACAAAGAAGAGGGATCATGTCTTGGTAAGGCCACACTTGGAATACTGCATCAATTTTGGTCGGCACGATGTAAAAAAGATGTTGAGACTCTAGAAAGAGGGCAGAGAAGAGCAACAGAGATGATTAGGGGACTGGAGACTAAAACATATGAAGAACGGTTGCAGGAACTGGGCATGGCTAGTTTAATGAAAAGAAGGACTAGGGGAGACATGATAGCAGTCTTCCAATATCTAAGGGACTGCCACAAAGAAGAGGGAGTCAAGCTATTTTCCAAAGCACCTGAGGGCAGGACAAGAAGAGATGGATGGAAACTAAAGGAGAGAAGCTACCTAGAACTAAGGAGAAATTTCCTGACAGTTAGAACAAATAATCAGTGGAAAACTTGCCTCCAGAAGTTGTGAATGCTCCAACACTGGAAGTTTTAAAGAAGATGTTGGATAACCATTTGCCTGAAGTGGCATAGGGTTTCCTGTCTAAGCAGGGGGTTGGACTAGAAGACCGCTAAGGTCCCTTCCAACTCTGTTATTCTAGTCAATTCTCCAAAGTACCAGAGGGCAGGACAAGAAGCAAAGGATGGACACTAACCAAGGAAAGAAGCAAACTGGAATTAAGGAGAAACTTTCTAACAGTGAGGACAATTAACCAGTGGAAAAGCTTGCCTCCAGAAGTCATGGATGGGTGTTCCATCACTGGAGGTTTTTAAGAAGAGACTGCAAGGCCACCTGTATGAAATGGTACAGTGGATCCTGCTTGAGAAGAGGGTTGGACTAGAAGACCTCCAAGGTCCCTTCCAGCTCTATTCTGAAGGAAGAAAATAACGCAATTCTGCTTCATTGGGCAGCCCCATTCTCTTGTGCAAAGCGAAGCTGGAAGCAAGTGCTTTGGGACTCTTGGATTGCCAAGAATGGGATTATCCCAATTCTGGATGAGACAAGAATCACCTCTGGCTGGGAAGGTGGGACAGATAAAGATTGCTCCAAAAGAAGGTGTTGAAGGGGATGAGTTAGGGGAGGAATGTTCGGAGAACCACTTGTTCCTTCAGCCGGAAAATATTCCCCACTCTATTTTAGAGAAAAGAAGAATAGTAGAGTTGGAAGGGACTTTAGATGTCTTCTATCTAGCCCATCTCCTTGCTCAAGCAGGAAATCTTATACCATTTTAGTCAAGTGGCTGTCCACTCTCTTCTTAAAATCCGCCAGTGATAGAGCACCCACAACTTCTGGAGGCAAGTCATCCCACTGATTAATCACTCATTAAATTTCTCCTCCGTTCTAGGTTGCTTCTCCCCTTGATTGGTTTCCATCCGTTGCTTCTGTGCTGCCTTCAGTTTTCTTTATAGGATAGGTTGACTCCCTCTTCTTTGTGGCAACCCCTCAGAATCCTGCCGTCACTGCTCTCACAGAAGTACCACATTTCAGAATGATTCTTAAACTAATCGGAACATTAACAAGACCACACCAATAACTTGTGAATGAGGAACAGCGATGCACGATCACACAAATACTTAATACTTTCACAGATCAGCCTTGAAGGATCATCTATCTATATCTAAATACAAATAATGTAAATGAATTGAGAACGGTTGGAGGTGACAAAAATAATGATTGCTTCCTCTGTTTCTTTATCGGCACTATCAAAATTATCAGGGCCATAACAAGATCTTGTACACTGATCTTGTTTTTGGAGAACGAAGCGTGTGAATTCAAAATATACTCGGCAATACATTATATTCTAGGCATTTTTCCTCATTTTTTATTCCTTTTTGATGTGTCGCTCTGGAGTCTGTTATCTATCCCAATGTATGGGGGGGTTATCCGTGGCCCAGAGCCAATGATTCAGCTATTGATATAACACTGCAGAATTGTAGAAACATCTTCACCAGAAATTCAAATTCTTCCAGTTACTATAAGCAGCAGAAGTAGGCGCAGGATGTATCAAGGAATATGAGAAAGAAACAAATGGATCAGCCTCTGTCTGAGGATCTATTATGGAGATTGAGAGATGGGTGGATTGTTCAGATCAAGTTGGCCATTCTTGAGATTCTTTTAGTTTGGACCCTATGTGGTGAATTTAACTTTTTTGCTTCTAGATACAGAAAGAAATGGACCTGACACAAACCATCAGGTGAGAACATTTGGGCAGGAGCAGTGGGAGTAAGGAAATAGTTATACCCTGAAGTGGGCCACAGTCTTAGAGTGCCAGTGCTGAAGTTGCTTCGTGTTTTCCCTTCCAGACTCAGCAGAGCAAACCTTCTCCGTTCTCCCCATCCCCAACCATCACGGGCACCAAGGTAAGTCCCACTTTTTCCTCTGACTACCTACAGATCCACGAGGTGGTGTCATTTCTTCTCAGAATTCCCAATGTTTCTCAGCCTTTCAGATGGGCGGACTCCAACTCCCAGAATTCCTCACCAAGCATTTCTGGCTGGGGAGTTCTGGGAGTTGAAGTCCACCATCATTTAAAGTTGAGGAAGGTTGAGAAACATTGCTCTAAAAAGGCATCTGGCATTCAGATTGGCTTGGACTGACCTTGGGTCAGAAGCTGTGTGGAGGTGGGCTTTAATTTCAGCCCAGGACAGAGGAAAATGGTGGATTCTTGAGGGATGAGGTAATAGGAGTGGTCACCTTTTGTTCTGGGGAATTCTGGGAGTTGAAGTCCATCCATCTTCAAATTGCCACAGTTGAGAAACACTGGTCTAAGCCAGGGGTCTCCAACCTTGGCAGCTTTAAGCCTGGCGGACTTCAACTCCCAGAATTCCCCAGCCAGCAAAGTTTTAAAACTGTGTACTAAGTCTTTATAACCAGCTCAACAAACATCTTATTTGTCAATGATTATAGACATAATCTTTTTAAATCTTGGAGGTATGATGGAAGGAAAGGTCACAGGCCATAATTCAGCACCCCAGTTTTTAAACTGCCTCTCTATCCTTGTCTGACTCTAGGGTCTGTTAAGCTTTGAAATGTGACCAAAACCCTTGACGCTTGCTTGAAGGATGCTATGAGAAGTCTGTAAACTCTCTCTCTCTCTGTGTCTGTTTAGCTGGATTAATCACTTGCATTTTGATTAACTGATTGCACAGAAAAAATTTGCATATTGCCCAAACCACAATCTGTTCCCTTTCTCTCTCTCTCTCTCTCTCTCTCTTTTTTTTTTTGAGACATAGAATTAGATAACAGCTCAGCTCTTAACATAATTTTAAAAGTTGCACTTTCTGCAATATTGCAAATGATTCTGGGTGGCCCTTCAAGCTGCCCACTCCCCTGGAAATCCTGAAACTCCCCCTCCCAAGAAAGGCCAGAGCCAGGCATTGCAGGTCAAAATCGCGCTGACAAAGAAAGACCCCCCAATGGGAAGTGCCCTGCGCTTTTGTTATCAGCCTGATAGGAACTTCTGAATCAAGGTTTGGTTTAAGGGGGGAATTCCCTGCGCCCCAACCCTGGCAGCAAAACAGGAAGCCAAGTAACGATAAAACATCTTGCACTGGTCAGTGGGCGGGATATGAATGTATTGTATTGCATTATTTCTCATCCCTACAAAGAACTCCTTACTAAATATCTGCAGGGTAGCAGAGATTTTAACTTTGCAGGATTTGGATCCCCTTGCTTGGAATTCCTCAAGTCGAAGTACACATGATCTTGGCTGCAGTTGAGGGTCTCCACTGAATCACCCCCTTCGTCTCCCTGCTGGGACAGAGAGCTCAATCTCTCCAGTACAGGATCCTTCCGACAGCTGCCCCGTTTCCTTTCTTGACCCTTGGTTCTAGTTTGAGACATAACTATTCGGTTCAGACGAGGGAGCTTCAGGGTTTTTTTTAAAAAAAAATACAAGAAAGGAGCCATCTGTCTTTGTAATAATGGAGTTTGGGCACAGGAAGAAAACACTAGAGTCAGAAAGAGTTTTTTTATGTGGAATTGGAAAGCAAACGGCCTTTATAGGTAGTCCTTGGCTTACAACCCCCATTGAACCCCAGATCTCTGTTGCTAAGCGAAACATTTGTTAAGCAATTTTGCCCCATTTTATGACCTTTCTTGCCATGGTTGTTAAGTGAATCACTGCAGTTGTTAAGTTAGTAACACGGTTGTTTAATGAATCTGGCTTCCCCATTTGACTTTGCTTGTCACAAGGTCCCAAAAGGTGACCCGGGGACACTGCAACCGTCATAAATAAGAGTCAGTTGCCAAGCATCTGAATTTTGATCGCGTGACCCTGAAGCTGCTGCAACGGTTGTAAGTGTGAAAATGGTTCTAAGTCACTGTTTTCAGTGCCGTTGTAACTTTGAACGGTCACTAAACGAACTGTTGTAAGTCGAGGACCATCTGTTTTATGGTTGATCACTACACTCAGCCAGATGTTCAGACTGGACTTGACATTTTTATCTGCCTATCGGCTCCTTCCCAAGCATCTGGGATAGGCCGATGTGGATATTTGATGGTGTTAGAAGTATCGTCGCAGGATGTAAGCTGTTCCGAGTAAAGCTGCCTTTTGCAATTGACTGATGGTGATTTTGTCAGTGCTGATGAAGTTCAAGTGTTGCTCCAGATGTTTTATAATTGCACGCAAGGTGCCTATTACTATTACTCTATGTGGGTAATCTGCAGTTAGGTCCACAGTCTAAGACTGGTGGAAACTCAACAATTCAATAAATAGTAATTAACAATTAATCGATAATTCAATTCAAAATTATGATTATTCCCTTCCAGATCAAAGCTGAAGACTCTACAGAAATGCCTCCAGCTCCAGCCCCAGCTCCAGCCCCAGCCCCAGCTCCTCAAGCTCAGCAGCCGCACCTACCCCAGGCTCAGCTCATGTTAGCGGGCAGCCAACTTGCTGGGGTAAGTGCAACAGGCAGTCTCTGCAGTTCACCCTTGGGTGAAGCGAGGTGAGGTGGAACAGAACGGGATTGAAACCTCTTGAATGATTTCTACCCCGAGTATTGCCATCAAAGGTTGAAGAAAGTGGAGGAAGGAGCTTGCAATCCACGCTGGCAAAATTCAAACATTCGCTGTAGGATTAGCAATAGCGATAGCCCTTACACTTATATACCACTTCACACTGCTTTACAGCCTTCTCTAAGCGGTTTACTATGTCAGCCTATTAATAGCCTCAGCAATCTGGATCCTCGGAAGGATGGAAGGCTGAGTCAACCTTCAGCCATCGAATTGCCAAACTGAGCCATTGAACTGCCAACAGTTCGATTCTCAACCTTGAGAATTGAACTGCCAAACTGCGAGCAGTGGGCAGTCAGCAGAATTAGCCTGCGGTACTGCATTCTAACTACGGTGTCACCATGGATCATACAATACGACTTTCTCCTAAAGGGAGACCCTCCATGCTAAACATACTTAAATAGTTTATTGTGATCTAGACGTTACTTACATAGACGTTCATATAAGTACAGGTAGTCCTTGACTTACGGCCACAATTGAGCCCACAATCTCTGTCGTTAAGCGAGACATTTTGTTGAGTGAGTTTTTTTCCTTTTTACAACTTTTCTTGCCACCGATTCCCGCAGTTGGTAAGTTAGTAACATGGTTGTTAAGTGAATCTGGCTTCTCCATTGACTTTGCTGGTCAGAAGGTTGGAAAAGGGGATTGTGTGACTCTTGGACGCTGCAACCGTCATAAATATGAGCCAGTTGCTGAATTTTGATCACGAGACTGCGGGGATGCTTGCAACGACTGTTAAGCGTGAAAAACGGTCATCTAAGTCACTTTTTTCAGTGCCTTTGTAACTTTGGTCCCTAAGCAAACGGTCGTAAATCGGGGACCACTTGTAATCCTCACAACACGTGGTCTATATATCACATTGGGAGGGGTTGTCTGACCCACACAAGGAACGGAAGGAAATGGGTCGTTTTGGAGCCCCACATTCTCTTCAGTTGTGAATGTTAGTGCTCTCCTGAGATGGATGGAGGCCGGGGAAACAGATGGAAAGATCTCAGCCTCTGCCCCAAAGGTTGCTGGAGAAGGAGATGCCATTCCACCCTGCGTAGTAAAACTCGGCTGCTGCCTCCCTCTTAGCAGCAACCCTCCCTTGTCCCTCCCGTGCCTTTTCCAGTGGACAAGGAGGAATCCAACAGGTACTTTGGCTTTCCCTGAACCTCCACGCATGACAATGAGCAACACAGCCGCTTCTCTCCCACCTGGCCAAGTTCTCCATGGTGTGTGTGAGTCCAGACTCTGGCAAAAGAAGAAATGCATGGCTGCACCTGAGGAAGTTTCTGGCTCTTTGCTGAGGGCAGGGAATGTAGTTGACTAACTTGCTCCTTCCTTCCTTCCTTCCTTCCTTCCTTCCTTCCTTCCTTCCTTCCTTCCTTCCTTCCTTCCTTCTCTGATCTTTCCTTCTTCCTTCCCTCTGATCCAACCTTCCTCTCTCCCTTCTTTCCTTCCTTCCTTCCTTCTCTGATCCTTCCTTCTTCCTTCCTTCTGATCCTTCCTTCCTCCCTCCCTCCTTTCTTTCGCTGATCCTTCCTCCTTCTTTCCTTCCTTCCTTCCTTCCTCCCTCCTTTCCTTCCTTCCTTCCTTCTCTGATCTTTCCTTCTTCCTTCCCTCTGATCCAACCTTCCTCTCTCCCTTCTTTCCTTCCTTCCTTCCTTCTCTGATCCTTCCTTCTTCCTTCCCTCTGATCCTTCCTTCCTTCCTTCTCTGATCTTCCTTCCTTCCTTCCTTCCTTCCTTCCTTCCTTCCTTCTCTGATCTTTCCTTCTTCCTTCCCTCTGATCCAACCTTCCTCTCTCCCTTCTTTCCTTCCTTCCCTCTGATCCTTCCTTCTTCCTTCCCTCTGATCCTTTCTTTCTTCCCTCTGATCCATCCTTCTTCCTTCCCTCTGATCCTTCCTTCCTTCTCTGATCTTCCTTCCTTCCTTCCTTCCTTCCTTCCTTCCTTCCTTCCTTCCTTCCTTCCTTCCTTCCCCTTCCTTCCCCTTTGCCTCCTGCTTGCTGCCCGCCCTGCCTGCTGCCTCCTCTCTCATACAGCTGACTGCCCTGATGCCCGCCCAACAGCAGCTGCTCCTGCAGCAGGCGCAAGCACAGCTTTTGGCGGCTGCTGTACAGCAATCTAACGCTGCTGCTGCCGCCGCCGCCTCCGCCTCCTCTCAGCAACCTGGGGCTGAACTGCCAGCACCACAGAGCCAGCCCCAGGCGCCCCAGCTGGCCTTGTCCCAACCAATCCAACTCACGGCACAGGTAAGGGCTTGTGCACGAAGCAGGGCGCTTTGCAGGGCCGGCCAGCCACAAGAGGTTCTGTGCATTGCCAGGCCACTTCTCCTTGGAAGGGGAGACGGTCACTCCTGGGGGGGGGGCAGGGGGGTTTCAAAGGAAAAACTGGTTCTCGGATGGCCTGAGACATGGTCTGCCTTGCATTGTCCATTGAAACTGGTCCCTTAAGCCCAGCGGGCTTCAACCTTGGCAACTTTTAAGACTTGCGGACTTCAACTCCCAGAATTCCTCAGCCAGCTTTGCTGCCTGAGGAACTCTGGGAGTTGAAGTCCGCAAGTCTTAAAGTTGCCAAGGTTGGAGACTCCTTCCCTAGCCATCACCTCTTTTCTGGGAAGCTCCCGGCAGCCACGGTTCCAGGGGAGAAAAGTGCTCAGTGGCCTCAGGGCAAGTATAATTCTCAGGAATCTCTCAAGAAGTTCAACCGCGTTGGAAATCGGGTAACTGTGCACTGTGTGGAGATGTTTTTTCACCCTGTTTCTCCTCCCGATTCGTTTTCTTCTAGGATATCCAGCAGCTGCTGCAGCTCCAGCAGTTAGTCCTTGTCCCAGGGCACCCTCTCCAGCCACCTGCACAGTTCCTGCTGCCACAGGCCCAGCAGGGACAGCAAGGTGAGGAGATAATTTAAAAAAAAAAAAAAAAAGCATCCCTCCTTTATTATTTTAAGAAACAACTCGAGGTGGCAGACATACCTCATACTTCTTCTTCTTCTTCTTCCTATTTCCCACACCATAACAACTCTGTGAGGTGGGTTGGACTGAGAGAGAAAGATTAGTCCAAAGTCACCCAATTGGCTTTCATGCCTGAGGTGGACTAGACCTCACCGTCTCCTGGTGATTGGCCCAAAGCCACCCAACCAACTTTCATGTCTTACGACTAGAACTCGCTGTCTCCTAGTGATTGGCCCAAAGTCACCCAGCCAACTTTCATGCCTAAGTCAGGACTAGAACTCACTGCCTCCTGGTGATTGGCCCCAAAGTCACCTGGCCAACTTTCATGCCTAAGGCAGGACTAGAACTCACCGTCTCCTGGTGATTGGCCCAAAGTCACCCAACCGGCTTTCATGCTTAAAGCCGCACTAAACTTCAAGCTGTTGCTGCTTATGGCTTAACTGGGTTGTAACTTGGCACACAAAGAACCAAAATATGTCGGGTCTCTTCAGAGATAAACTCGAGCCTTTTCCTCCCCACAGGGCTGCTTCCGACACCAAATTTATTTCAGCTACCTCAGCAGAATCCAGGGAGCCTCCTGCCGAACCAGCCTCGTGCAGGACTCCCAGCACAGGTGAGCAAGGAAGGAAAGAAGGGTAGGTGTAAAAAAAAAAAAAAGAAAAGAAAGAACATGTAAAACATTCATTGAGGTAAAAGAAGGAAATAAATAACCATGCAAATATTTTGGTTTTCCCTCTTTTTTTTTTCTTTTTTAGATGAATTATACTGCTTCGTTTTCTCCAGTATTAAATCAGTTGCGAGCGTTTAATTTTAAGCCCTGAATCTCAGAGGGCAAATTCGTCCATTCTTAACCCGCCAAACACTGAAAGAAGTCAATGGCGTTTGCAACTCATGAAGGGAGGGAAGTGCCTCCCATCTTGGCCCAGGCGTAGCAATCGCTATTCAATAAATTAATAAATTATCAAGGTTATTTCTCCCCTTGAGTTTGGTAATACAGCCTGCCTGGACTTGTGTGTGGTGGTCCTTCTGGATCTCTTGGATTCCCATTTCTTTGATTTCTTCCTCTTTTCCAGCAAGTGACTCGGCCTGGCCTCCCCGAGTCCCACCTCACTCACTCACAGCCGCCCAAATGCCTGGAGACCCCTTCTCACCCTGAGGAGCCCAGCGACCTGGAAGAGCTGGAACAGTTTGCTCGCACCTTCAAACAACGGCGCATCAAACTGGGCTTCACGCAGGTACACCTCAGAATGCTTGGCTCAGATGAGGAAGAGTAAGATGTAGCTCTCCCTAATGAAAGGAGAAGAAGAATGATGTGCAGGGAATTGTGAAATACAGGCAGCCTTGGCATTCTCTCAGTAACCGCCTCTCTCCCTTTTCTTCCCTCCATCCTTTACAGGGTGATGTGGGGTTGGCTATGGGGAAGCTTTATGGGAATGACTTCAGCCAAACAACCATCTCGCGCTTTGAGGCACTGAACCTCAGCTTCAAGAACATGTGCAAACTCAAACCACTTCTGGAGAAATGGCTGAATGATGCTGGTAAGGAAAGACAGTGGAGTGTGATTCAAGCCGAGTCCTGCTCAGGGTGACCAACCTGGGAGTGGGATAATGTTAAGAATGCCAGAGAAGAAAAGAGAATTTGGTCAAGGAGATGATTGTTGAAAGTTGCAGTGAAGGTAACAGAAAAGAGCCAACTGCATTCACACACCCAAGCTATTGCTCCAGTTTGGGTCACCACGATATAAAAAAAGATGTTGAGACTCTGGAAAGAGTGCAGAGAGGAGCAACAAAGATGAGAGAGATAGAGGCTAAAACATCTAAAAGACTTCCAAGGTGCCTTCCAACTCTTGTTATTCTGGTTATTCCATTTTTTTAAAAAAAATTGGGCTTTCCTGCCATTGGTAGCCCAGGTAAACAAGCTTAGCCTGCCGTGGGGAAGCCAGCGAATCGTGGCTCAAGTCAAAAACCATAGTTTAGCACGAGGTAGGGGGCCAAGCGACAGCCTTCATGGACTGAGCCTGACAGGAGGAAGAAAGGGTAGCACAATATAAGCAGGACTGAGTGGTGGGAATTACGGCACCATAAAGAGCGTATTATGTTCCAGTGAGAAACTTTGTTCTTGTTTGCTCCATCAGCATATTCACAATGGTTACGATTAAGTGGGAGAGAAAAGTGATGCCATTTCTGGAGAGGATGAAGGTTAAGGAAAGGAGGCATTTGAAAAGAGATAGATGGAAAGAGAAGAGAAGTCATATAGGGCAGGCACCCCCAATCTTGGCAACTAAGACTTGTGGACTTCAACTCCCAGAGTTCCTCAGCCTGGCTGAGGAACTCTAGGAGTTGAAGTCCACAAGTCTTAAAGTTGCCAAGGTTGGAGACCCCTGGTATAGGGGATGTGCTTTATGAGTGTTACTCAAGAGGCAATTAAATGTTTCTCCTCAACTTGTTACAGAGACAATGTCCGTGGACTCCACGCTTCCCAGCCCCAACCAGTTGAACAGTCCCAACCTTGGCTTTGATGGGCTGCCAGGCCGACGTCGCAAGAAACGGACTAGCATTGAGACCAATGTCCGCTTTGCATTGGAAAAAAGCTTTCTAGCGGTAAAAAGTTCCCTACCAAGCAACCCGCCTTCCCTCGTCCCTTCCCTCCCCAAATTATTATCAGTTGTGCCGTGCAGTGGAGAAGTAACTTGAGTGAAGTTTTCACCTGTGCTGCCTTCTTCAATGCTTCCATTTGAAGTGTTCCATTTAAAACTGATTTCATATACCCTGTTTCCCCGAAAATAAGACCCAACAGGAAAATAAGCCCTAGCGTGATTTTTCAGGATGCTCGTAATATAAGCCCTACCCCCAAAATAAGCCCCAGTTAAGATTGTCAGCCAGATGGGTGCATTTAGTACCGTATTTCCCCCCCCCAAATAAGACCTAACCAGAAAATAAGCCCTAATGTGTCTTTTGGAGCAAAAATTAATATAAGATTCGGTCTTATTTTCGGGGAAACATGGTACTTATTTAAAATATTTATATAGTTGCCTATGTTATAGTCCTCGATTTACAACCATTTGTTCTGTGACTGAAGTTACAACAGTAATGAAAAAAGTGACTTACGACCATTTTCCACATTTACGATCGTTGCAACATCCCCATGGTCATGTGATCAAGATTCAGATGTTTGGCAACTGGCTCCTATTTATGACAGTTCTGTCTCCCAGGTCATATGATCACCTTTTGTGACACTTTCTGACAAACAAAGTCAATGGGGGAAGTCAGATTCACTTAACAGCCGTGTTACTAATTTAACAACTGAACACTAACTGATTCACTTAACAACTCTGGGAGGAAAGGTCGTAAAGTGGGCCAAATCTTGCTTAACAACTGTCTTGCTTAGCAGCAGACATTTTGGGCTCAATTGTGATCGTAAGTCGAGGACTACCTGTAACCAACTACAGGCTGCTGTATAGACCATTTTATCCATTTTGTCAGACTGTTAAAAGAATAGTTCCCTGTCCTGCTGCATGATGTTCACTTCTCGCTAGGATCGGATAGCAATGGCACTTAGACTTATATACTGCTTTACAGTGCTTTACAGCCCTCTCTAAGTGGTTTACAGAGTCAGCACATTGCCTCCAACAATTTGGGTCCTCATTTTACCGACCTCGGAAGGATGGGAGGTTGAGTCATCCTTGAGCCGGTCAGGATCGAACTGCTGGCAGCTGGCAGAGTTAGCCTGCAATGCTGCATTCTAACCACTGCACACTAAGGGAGGGAGGGAAGGTGGGAGGGAGGAAGGACGAAAGGAAGGAAGGACGGAAGGAAGGAAGAGCAATAGCACTTAGACTTACATACCGCTTCACAGCCCTTTACAGCCCTCTCTAAGCGGTTTACAGAGTCAGCCTATTGCCCCCAAGAATCTGGGTCCTCATTTTACCCACCTCGGAAGGATGGAAGACTGAGTCAACCTTGAGCCTGGTGAGATTCGAACTGCCAAATTGCAGGCAGCCAGCAGTCGGCAGAAGTAGCCTGCAGTACTGCACTCTCACCACTGAGCCACCGCAGATGTTGTTCTTACACTTCTATCTTCCCCCGACAGAACCAGAAGCCTACCTCAGAGGAGATCTTACTTATTGCCGAACAGTTGAACATGGAGAAAGAGGTGATTCGTGTCTGGTTCTGCAACCGCCGCCAGAAGGAGAAACGGATCAACCCTTGCAGCTCTGCTCCCATTTTGCCTGCCCAGAGCAAACCTGCTGGCTACAGTCCTCACATGGTAAACTCCCACTTTTCCCTCATACGTGATCGTCTGTCTCGGTTGACCTCTCTGGTGGCTTTCCCAGGGGACACTGACATTTGCAAGAGTCCCTCGAGGGACACGTCTCACATTATTTTTGCCCACTCGGAAGTCTGAGAGTTCAATCCTAGGTAGCGACAGATACTTCTCTCCCTAAGGTGCGAAGGAAAAATATTTGCTGTGAACTCTGTGTAGGTGTCAGGAAGGGCATCCGGCCAGTAAATGCTCAACTCCATTCAGCCATCCCGATTCTACCCCAGTTAGGGACTACAGGGTTATAAAGCAGGACCTATCAGTGCAGGTTCTTTATTCGTGTCAGAAGCACCTTCAAATTATAGACATACAACGTTCAACACTGAACAAGTAAACCAGTGCAGGTAAACACTCCACCCACCCCCAACTGCATGCCATTTCCATCCTTTGGAGAGCTAAGCTTGGGAATTCCTCAGTATTGACTGGTCCATGAACCTACACAGCTACTTGATCATGCTGACCTAGTGGTTAAGCCAAATGTGCCTCTCCATCCAGACTCCAACAGCTTCCAGGCCCTGGGACAAGGCCTGGCAGCATCTCTTGGTCAGCCAGGGGTTCAGAGATACAGTTGGTTGTCCTCATTGTGCTGCCCACTATGGCTGATGCCATCTCCTCCATTCAACAAGTCTTAAGTAGCCCTTTTGGAAAAACCTTTCCTGCCCCCTGGTGGTGGAAGAGAGAAAGCGTGCTACCCGTGTGTACATCCGTTATGTCCGTGACAGATTCTTGTCTCTCTATTTTTGTTCCTCAGGTGACCAGCCCAGGCACCGGCACAGGTTTGCCCCTCTCCCAGGCTTCCAGTAGTCTGAGCACAACAGGTACACACTCCCCCCTTTCTTTTTCCTTTCCTTTATTTCCCTTTGGAATACTTTACCGGGGTGGAATGATGAGAGCTTGTTGAGTCTGTGTATTAAATTGACGCTGTTAAGCACAGGAACATAAGTGCATCCTGATCTTTGACCCACAAAGGGTTCCAACCTTTGTTGGAACAAATTGTGATTTGTTGAACAATCTCAACGAATTTTTGAGAATTGTTTGAGACTCTGGATTTTAAGAGAGCAAAATTAGGGATTGATCGTGCTGAATGCCTGAAATCGGGGGAGGTGAGGGGGGGGGCACCTGGTTTCAGACTTTGGGGATCAGGTGATCGATCACCTTTTACAACCTTCTCACAAAGTCAGTGGGGTAGCCAGATTCCCTTAAGAACTGTGTTATTAGCAAAAAATTTGCAAGGACGCCCTTAAGATCCCTGGCAAGAAAGGTCGTATAAGGGACATAAATCGATTTAACAACTGTCTTGCTTAGCAACTGGAATGTTGGGCTCCCCTGTGGCCATAAGTGGAAGACTATCTGTGAAGGCAGAAGAATTCGCTTGGGCTTCCTCTGCGTGAAGCTCTCATTTTAACCTCCTGTTCTTCTTTTGGGACAGTTACTACCTTGTCCCCAGCAATCTGCTCCCTAACCCCCAGTCGGACAGCGGTTGGAGCAGGGGGCACCGCCCTCAACTCGGTCACGCCACCCCCAAGCAACAGCACAAATCCCAGTCCCCAGAGCAGCAGCCATCCAGCTCTCAGCTTGCAAGGCCTGAATCCCAGTACGGGGTAAGTGGCAAGACTGGGAACGCTTTTGGAGGGTTGAGTTCCTGCAGAGGTTGGACTGTGATCCTCTGTGGAGCTTCTTTAACACCCCCTTGACAGAAGAACAGAGTTGGAAGGGACCTTGGAGGTCTTCTAGTCCAACCCTCTGCTCAAGCAGGAAACCCTACACCATTTCAGACAAGCCTCTTCTTAAAAACTTCCACTGTTGTTGCACCCACAACTTCTGGAGGCAAGTCGTTCCCCACTGATGAATTGCTCCAACTGTCAGGAAGTTTCTCCTTAGTTCTAAGTTGCTTCTCTCCTTGATTGGTTTCCACCCGTTGCTTCTTGTCCTGCCCTCAGGTGCTTTGGAGAATAGATCGCCCCCTCTCCTCCTTTTGGGGGCCCTCAAATACGGGAAGACTGCTATCATTTGAGTCACGGGGATTAACTTCTGGGTTTCTTTCTTGATCTAACATATTTATGTAGCCACCTAACTCATACAAAAATGATGTTGGGCAGCTTACAACATTTAAAAACCCACCAAATTAACTCCCCCCCCATGACAGCAATAATATAATCAAATCAAGTTGCTCTTGATTGGTCCCGTCTCCGTTGGGGATTCCCAGCCCATTTACAAAATTAGGTTTGTTAGGACCTTTCAGGGTGTGGAACAATCATACGTTGAGAGGAATGATATTCCATAGAGAAGGGACCTCCACCGTGAAGGCCCTTTTTGGTGGTCCCACCAGATGCACATTCCTAATCGATGGGACCTGTAACATGCCCTGCCTTCTCATCCTTCATTTAAGGTCCCCAAACCATGTTTTAAAAAAGAGGTTTGGGATTCATAACCGTTCTTCAGATCTCTGCTTTTACATTGGAACTTATTGTATTTATGGGTTTAATTCTTTTGGTGAATCTTGAATCTCTATGCCACTTCAGTAGGGGACGTGGTGGCTCAGTGGCTAAAACACTGAGCTTGTCAATCGAAAGGTCAGCAGTTCTAGCGGTTCAAATCCCTAGTGTTGCGTAACCGGCTGAGCTCCCAGCTTCTTGTCCCAGCTTCTGCCAACCTAGCAGTTCGAAAGCACATAAAAATGCAAGTAGAAAAATAGGGACCACCTTTGGTGGGAAGGGAACAGCGTTCCGTGCGCCTTTGGTGTTGAGTCATGCCGGCCACATGACCACGGAGACGTCTTTGGACAGCACTGGCTCTTCGGCTTTGAAACGGAGATGAGCACCACCCCCTAGAGTCGGAAAATGACTAGCACATATATGCGAGGGGAACCTTTACCTTTACCTATGCCACTTCAGTAACTGACAGGGTAATAAGTAGGTAAATCAACCAGTGTGAAGGGAGAGAGATTATGATGTGTTAAATGTACAGTATTTGCCGCCTATCTTGCTATGAGTCTACTCTAGGCGGCTTGCAAGAATAAAAAGGAAAAAAAATGAAAAGAGTATAACGGAACAGTAGTAAGATAACAGAACAATAAAACAAACCATGAAAAATAGCACAGCGAAAATACGTCAAAATCATAACTGAAAAAGATGGACTGGTGGAGAACAAAAGGGAAGGGAGGTGGAATCTGCCATCAATCCAGCAGCCACCTCCAGAATGGAAGCCCGTTATTTGAACCCCAGGCCAACCGGCAGAGCCAGGTCTTTAGATAGAAGGGTGGGGGCAGATTTTACCCTAGAGCAGGGGTGGGGAACTATGGGCCTTTTATGACTTGTGGACTTCATTTCCCAGAATTCCTGAGCCAGTCATGCTGGCTGAGGAATTCTGGGAGTTGAAGTCCACAGGTCATAAAAGGGCCATAGTTTCTCATGCTGGCTGAGGAATTCTAGGAGTTGAAGTCCTCTGCCCTAGAGGAAAAGATATAAAATCTACATTGACTCAACTATTGTAAGTTGGATCCTACTGATACATTCCTGGGCACACCGGAGAGGAAAAAAAATGGGTATGGTGACAAGAGCACAATCATCTTTGCCACCCCAAAGCCCCCACTTTAACTCACTGCCTTTGATTTGATTGCAGAAGCACAGTGCTAGGGGTGAATGCAGGGTTAAACCCAGCGCTAATGGCCACCAACCCTCTGGCCACCATACAAGGTTTGTGAAAGAAAAGACAAAAAAAAAACCATGGTGTCGTGGCTGCCATCCACTCCACTGGCTTGCTGGCGTGAGAGAAAAAGTATGTGAAGGAACGGATGTGAGTTTGTAGAGGTTGCATGTTGGGCTCACAGCATCTGCAGATTCCTGTATGTCTGGCGAAGCTTGGAAGATACCTGCTTGTGTGTTGGGGTGGTGGTGGTATAATAACTATGGATCTTCTTAATGACCGCAACAATTTATGGGTGTAATTCCAGGCTCATTTATGGTCGTAAATTGAGGACCATCTGTAAGGACCAAGCCTTGTGAAAGGGGCCATAGACTTGACTGTTTATCCCCCACCAGCCTAGAAGAATAGAATAGACAGGGGTGTCAGAAGCAGCTGAGACATCCAGGACAAAAGAAAATGCATAAATGCTGCCTATATTTAAAGTGTACCCAGGGGTGGGATTCAGCCGGTTCGGACCGGTTTGGGCCAACCGGATGCTAATTTTACCTCTGGTTCGCTGAACCGGTAGTTGCAAGGAATGGCTGGCCCGGCTCACCCCGCCCCTCCCCGCCCCTCCTAGGAGTCTCCATATGGCCCATTTTGGGTGCCAGGTAAGTGCAGCGCCTGCACAGAGGCTCTGGGAGGGGGAAAAATGGGCCTACCAGAAGAACTGGAAGTTTCCGGCCTCCAGAGCCCAGGAGAGGCCTCTGGAGCCTGGGGAGGGTGAAAATGCCCCCCCCACCATGGGGGACTAGGCCACACCCACCATGGCCACACCCAGCCAGCAAGCGGGCAGAGAACCGGTTGCTAAAGTTTTTGAATCCCACCCCTTGGGTGTACCTCATATTAGAAGCCAACGGAGAAGGTTACCTATCAGTTTGGGGTAAGGTATCCTCCACATGTGTGATTAATCCAAACCCATCGGTTCTGTTTAAATTTTTTTTTTCTTTCTATTATAATTGTAAACCACCAGAGTCACTTTGGAATCGGGTGGCCCTGAAATCAAATGAACAAATAACAGGGATGATCCCAGTTGTGGATCTCTACCCTGGAATTAAACAGGAGAAACTGTGGAGATCCCTATGGGAAGGTTGGAGGTTGGGCTTGGCAAGACAGAGTGATGACACAGCATCATCCACAAGAGCGATCAATGCCGTTTCTACCACCCTCACCCCTGGTGTGGAAAAGCTGATTTATCTGGGTTCTTTTTTTCCCAGCCAAGACCTTGGTATGAATCCTGATCAAAAACAACCCAGATAAACTGCTTCACTTAAGATCCTTTGCAGTTGTTTAAGACTGTGCAGATAGAGATTGTCTAATCCGGTGCGTTAGAGAGAGAGCACGCCATTTCCTCTTTCAAGGAGGCATTGACTGAATTACGCCTCTCTTCCCCACCGCTTGGTCTGACCCAAGACGCGAGGTTGCTTGTGAGCTGGTGTGCAAGTGTAATACAGGCGTGTGAGAGTGCAGCCAGTCGGTGGAGTCCCTCACACCCTCCTCTCATTCATCTTGAGGGCTTTCTCCATTCCATCTTGAATTTGCACGCAGCAGAAGCCTTCACGCTCCATTACATGCATCCTTCACATCATATATGCTAACCATTGATTGTGCAACCTGTCTTCCCACACCGTGCGTCTTTTCCGTGTGAATCATGTTGGGGGAGAGAAATGACAGAGCTGTCAGAGGACAAAGAAGTGCCTTTTCAATTATACCTGTCTTTTTGACAGTCTCCAAAAAGGAAGCCTCTAAAAAAATTTTTTTTGTTTGCAAAGATAAGAATGGTTTCCTGTGAGTGGTGCGATGGCCTAGAGGTGGAGCTCTCGCCTCACCATCAGGAGGCTGTGAGTTCAATCCTAGGTAGAGGTAGATATCTCTCTCTCTGGGCACGATGAGAATATATCTGCTGAACAAAGCTCCACATTGGAGACAGGAAGGGCATCCGGCCAGTAAACCCTCAGCTCCATTCAGTTGCCCAGACTCCACCCTGCAAGGAATTATGGAGTCGTTAAAAGAAGATGATAAGAATAGTTTCCTGCAAGATTATCCTTCAAGAGGGCAATCTTGGCACTGTGTCTCATCTGGACCAATTCTATATTGATCCCAAGGCCAAGGATGGGAAGCCATTGCAGATGTGGTCTAACCAACTTTTTTCTCTCTCTTCATGTAGCCCTGGCCAGTGGTGGAAGCCTGCCAATTACCAGCCTTGATGCCAGTGGTAACTTAATCTTGGGTACCACCGCAGGCACAACTGGAAGCCAGAGCATCGTGACCTCGCCGCTCTTCCTCAACCACGCGGGCCTGCCTTTGCTGAGTGCTGCCCCCGGAGGCGTGGGGCTGGTGTCAGCAGCTGCTGCCGTAGCTGCTTCTATGCCTAGCAAGTCCCCTACCCTGACTTCCTCCTCCTCCTCTTCCTCTTCCTCCTCCTCTTGTTCCTCATGCAGCTCCTCCAGTGACATGGCGCAGACAATGGGGCAAGTTGGACCCGGATCCACTGAACCGGATGCCAAGACGGAGTGAGGACTCAGGCGCATGCATCCACGCTGCCTTTTCTGACATGGCGGGGGTAGCCCGGAGTGGACGTACAAACCGACACATGAAACCAAAAAAAAAAAAAAACCAAGCAAACCAAAACCACCAAAACCAAACATAGAAATGTCAGCAACAGCCAAACGAAAACAAAAAACAAAAAAACCAACAACCAAAAAATAAGCAAAGAAGCAAAGCAAAAAGGGGGGGGGGGAAAAGGAAGAAACCAAAAAACAAAAGTTCCCCAAACCTTTGGCATTCATTTGTTTTTCCCCTCTGCAAAAGGTGACAGTCGATGGTCTGTTTGATTTTTTTTAATGATTTATCTTTTTTTTTCATCTGCTCGTTTCCTGGACAGTATCAGAAGGGAAACCAATAAATGGGGATATTTTTTTTGTAAAAAAAAAAAAAAGAAAAAGAAAAAAATACTTTTAAAAGAACCTTTAAAAATCCTTAAGGGGAATACAGATCTCACACCAAAAATCACCAGTTCTAGCTTCACCCAAAGCTTTTTACAAACTTTTCTATCTTCAGTGTCTGGTCGAATGTCTTTCAAAATGCTTTTATTTATTCTTATTTATTCTTTCTCTTTTCCTTGGATCCGGAAAGGGTTGGGCAGGAAAAGAATGGATTGATTTAATTTCAGGATCTTCCTATAAATATTTTCTTTATTTTTTAAATGGTTAACAAATGTTTCTGCTTTTTTTGCGCTCTCTCTCTTTTTTTTTTTCTTAAATGAAAGAAGCTTTATACAAATAGGGGGATTCTTATAAGAAATGAAGGCTAGGATTTTCAAAGGCAATAATGAAAATCAGACACTGGGTTCCCACTCTGGAAACTGGTTTCTCGATTATTGTCCTGCAATGAGTTATCTTTTAAAATTATTTCTGCTCCTTCTTGTTTGCAAAGAGGTTATTTGATTAATCAGCCCAGGGATAGGCTCCACCAAAGGAGTTGGTGATCAAAAAATTCAGATTACTTGCCAGCTAAAATCTATATTGCCAGTAGTTCTCTGGGGCTTGAAGCAAGAAGAAGGTGGGGAACCATTTTACAAAATTTCTTTGTTGAAGACTCTCCTCCTGAGATATGGATACACATTGCAAGCATTTAGTGCATCAAAACCCAGATATTTGCAATGCCTGTTTCTGTCTCTCAAAAAAAACTCCCTCACTCCTACAGTAAGGATGAAGGAGTTACATCCGGTTGGAATTACTTTATTACTATTAGCAGGGCTACTCAGAGGGTATATAACGTAAGTACTTTTTGCAGGACAAGAGGCATTATTGAAAGTCACAGTCTTCAAATTTTTAAGGATGGACAGCACTAAATCTATGCTTTTTTTCTATCGGCTTGAACCTTTTCTTTGCCAGTTTTAATTTTCTATTGAGCTTAGCGGGGGGGGGGGGGAATTGTTTTTAATTGGTTTTGCCTGGGGTTAGTATCAGGGGTTATTTTTCTGAAAACGGGATGTGTGGTTTTTTATTTTTATTGTTATTATTATTTTTATAGCTGTGTTCTGAAAAAAAAAATACTCATATTCCAGTGCCTGACAAAAACCAAAACAAAAAAAATGGGAATTTCAGCATTCTTTACATTTTTCAGAAAAAAAAACCAAAAATTGATAGACATCACTACAGAAAACACCAAAATGAAGACCACTGGGGAATATAAATAAAAGCAAAGACAGAAGAGGGATAAAAAAAAAAATCTTCTCAAGAAAGTGGGTATCACAGAGACTCGGAGGCGAGAGAAACTTTTAACCAAAAAGAACCAACCATGCGAACAAAAGAAGCTAAAATGAATAACCACAAGAAACTTTTAAATGAAGAAGAAAGGATGAAAAAAATGTGTGGGAATAAAAGGGACATCTTTACTTTCTCTGGTTAAGACAAAATGGCTCAACCGTCTTTCTCTGTCCTGATTTAAAAAAAAATACCTCATGGAAAGTTGTGTTGAGAAGCCAAGATTTTATAAATGGCAAAGAGACAAATAAGTAAAACCAAATCAACTGAAATGGGAGGGCAAGATCAGAAGATCCTGTGACTTTCTCCCAGAAGTCTAGAAAGCTTTAAAAATGGCTTCTCAAAACACTGATTTTATTTTATTTTTTAAACTTCTTTTTTTTGTACATTTCTTTTCTTGGTCTTTGGTTTCATTTTAAACTGGATGGTTTGGGATCTTTTTTTATATATGTTGAGTGGGTTAATTGATGTTTTGGGGGCTCTTTGAATGTTTGTTGTTTATTTTCAAACTCCTGCGAACCAAAGTTTTGCTGTTGCAGAGAAGGAAGTTAGCCATGGCATACTGCGATCTGGTAGAAAACAAAAAAAACCAAACCAAAAGGACAGAGTTAAAAAAAAAAAAAGATAAACAAGCAAACAAAAAAAGTACTTTGAACCTTTCTTAAAGGACAGAAACAAAAAACCCTCAACCTCATTTTATCTTCTGCTTTTGCTGTGCTCTAACGTTCAGGTGGGTTTGAGATAACAAAAGAAAAAAAAATACTGTGAAACTTTCCAAAAACAGAAACAAATCAACAACAAAACAAAACAAAACAAAAACCCAGAAAACACCTAGTTTAAAAGACTGACTTGAAAAAAAGGAAAAGTTTTCATCCCATTCTGTGCGTGAGTGAGAGAGAAACGCCAAGTATTTATTCAGCCCTTTTAAGATTTTCAGTTATTGTATAATGGTGGACATCTGAGGGAAAAAAAAAAACATTGGAGAGAAATATTTCTCTCTCTTTCTCTCCCTTTCTCTCTCTCTCTTTCTCTCTCTCTCTCTCTCGTGCTACTGAACGTGTTTCTAGGTGGAATGTAACTGTTTTAGTGATCTTTGTTATTTTCCTTTCATTTTTACTTTTTTTGGGGGGGTATCTATTTTTTTTTAATAGAGAAAATTCTATGTTCCGCTTTATCGCTTCTTACTGTATTAAGAAAAAAAAGACAAAAAACAAACGCTAAAGGTTTGCAACAAAAAAAAAGATAAAAAAGGGAAAAAAGGAAACAAAAAACAAACAAAAAAAAATACCAAAAACCAAAATGTGTTTTTTTTTTCTTTAAAAAAAAAAAAAAAAGAATTGATTCTAGACCAAAAATGACCCTATCTCCATGCATGGAGCTGAGTGGTGGCTGAATGGCGTGGAGGGAAAAATTTTATAGGGCAAGTAAGATTTTTATAGGGCAAGTAAGGATGTTGGGAAGTAGGTTAGATTGCTGTCAACCTGGAGATGAGGAGGAGCAGCAGCTGTTTCAGAAAGATGAAAAAGGTTTGAAAAAGGGGGTGCCTGGTAATTGCTCCCTCTTTTGCCTTCAAAAAACCAGCCAAAGGTTTGACCGGAGTGAGACAGAAGAAAATATATATACACAAGCAGGTTGTAGATATGATACCTCTTTTTAAAGGTTGGCTTTAGCTTTAGGAAAGGAAATATGGGAGAGACATCTAAACCACGGGGGACATCGCTCTTTCCCCCTTCCCTCCCAAATGGCTGATTATATAAGATGTGAAACATAAAAACTAATTTTGCTGTAGGGATGCTTGAGGTTGATGGAGCCAGAGCTAAAAAATGGCCTGATCTTTAGTTTTAAATTGGCCCATGATTTTATTGATAGGTCAAAAGTCCATAACCAACTGTACCTCTCTAGTCCACATACTTCTTCAACTGGCTGGTTTTTAAGAAAAAAAAGAAGATGCTTAAAAAATAGCTGCATCTTTCTGTTCTGCTGAGCTCCCCCACTCCTAGGAGTTTTAGAAAGAGGAAGGAAATAAAAGTAAAACCAAAGCTGTCAAACCAAATATTTGCTCACATGCCTCCGTGCCAGTGCCTGTCCCAGGGTTGGGTGGGGGGCACGAGGGAGGGAGACAGGCTAACCACCCCCCCTCCCTCTCCTTACAGTGCCAAGACATCCACCACAAGGCTCTTTGGAGATAGCCCGCCATATACCTCATATACTTTAATGATAAACCAAATAGAAAAGCTTTATTAAGGGTGTGTGCCGTACAGGTCTGTTTGGGGCGGTGGGGGAAATCGGGCGCAGCATTCCTCTCAGCCCCATGGTGCGAAACCATCCGTAGGACAGCCCAGGTCCAATGAAATCTGATCTATTAAGCTTCTAGGGTTCCGGGGGTGACGTTTCATCTGGAAAAAGGACGACGTGGTTAGGATGGAACCGTGACAAGGACTGAAGACTGCATCCACAAAGACGTGAGAAAGAAGGAAAAAGAAAAAGAATTAAAAAAAAGACACACTAGGGGCTGGACATTGCTCTGCGTGGGCCTCGCTTCCCCGATGTAACTGGCACTTTGTACATCAGGGTTAAACTGGAGGATAGCTGGAATTCAGCTGTGATGCAAGAGCATTTTTTTGTATCGAAGAAAGTTGAAGCTGGGCTTTTTTGTTTCTAGCTGGGACACGAATCTCCCTTTAGAAACCTTGACGGACCATATTCGGGTCCAATTGGAAGGTCTTCTGCCTTCCATGAACTGGCTTCTCCAGGTTGCTCTCTTATCAACTCTGACCGGTGTTGAGGTTAATGTGAAAAAAAGGGAATCTCGTTTATATGCCCAGGAAAGTCGGTCAGTTTGATAGCGCCTAGAGGAGTGGATCAAATGGGCTGGCCTTTTGCATGAAGGATGCTGCACTAGAACCCAGTTTCTTGCCGACACCACCCCAACATGACTGGCCTGTTGCTGTAGCCGACCTGGGGAGCAGTGGGAAAATCGTGTGATAACTTTGCCAAAGGTAGTTAGTTCCTAGTATTCATTTTTTTTTTTTACATTTTTAATCTTCCGGGGTCTGATCCTGTCTTGTTAATTTATTTGTAACTGTGGGGCTTAGAAGTGACTTGAAAAAAAAAATGATGATGATGATGATGATGATAATGTAACAAATATTCTGAGTGCTTTTTTAATTTGTTCTTTCATTTGGTTCTGTCGTGGTTTTGTGTTTTTTTTCCCTGTCTTTTTTTAAAATTAAAAACAAAAAAAAAAACAAAATAAAAATCTTGCAACCAAAGACGAGTTGAAAAGAAGTTGAGAATCTGTTATGGTGACTTATTCGTGGCACAGAGCTTGCAGACCACAGGAGGGAAGGAAAAAATGGTGGATCAGCAACCTGGCACCTGAAAACAGTGTTCTGTCCGCAGATACATCTTCGCCAACCAGTTAGGCCCCAAAGGTATTACTGGAAGATAATGTGATCTACAGCCGATTGCTTTCTTTGCCTTCTAATATAAGGGTACAGGACAGGTAGTCCTTGACTTATAACCATGATTGAGACCGTTGCTAAGCAAGGTGATTGTTAAATAAGTTGTGCCCGATTTCACAACCTTTTTTTTTTTTGCTATGGTCATTAAGCAAATCATCTGAAGCACACAGTCATTAAATGAATTTGCATGCCCCCATTGATCTTGCTTTTCAGAAGCCGGCTGTGAAGTTCACAAATGTCAATCATATAATCCCAGGATGTTGCAGCTGTCATAAATCCACACGAGTTTCCAACGGCCTGAATTTTGATCATGTGAACACAGGGATGCTGTAATGGTTGTAAGTACAAGGACTGGGCGTCTCTTCTTCAGTGCTGTCATAACTGAACAGTCTCTAAATGAATGGTTGTAAGTTGAGGACTACCTGCATATATTGTGATTTACCACTTCCATTACTGTGACGGATCTTTTCATGAGAACAATAGTG